CACAAAGAGATAAGTCAACTAGAAAAAAAAAATCAGCAAGGAAATAACAGATCTGAAACAAATCTGTGAACAAATAGACTAAAAATGTTTACAGAATGTTCCATCCCACATCAGAATACACATTCTTCTCAGCTGCACATGGATCATTCTCTAAAATAGAACACATTCTAGCCCATACAGCATACTTAACTAAAGGCAAAAGATTTAAAATTATGCCATGCGTATTATCTGACTACAGTGCAATGAAATTGGAAATTAAGGACAAAAGGAACCACAAAATCTCCATAAACACTTGAAAACTAAATAGTAACCTCCTGAACAACTAATGGGTCACAGAAGAAATTAAAGATGAAATTTAAAAATACAGACAAAAAAACTATAAATACAACTTACCAGGATCTATGGGATGCACTCAAAGCAGTCCTCAGAGGGAAATTTATAGCAGTGAACATACACATGAGGAAAACAGGAGAACAAATACATAGCCTAATGCTGTACCTCAAACTTTTAGAAAAAGAAGAACAAGTCAAGCCCAAAGCCCAAAGAAGGGAGGAGATTATAAAGATCTGGGCAGAAATTAATACAACTGAGACAAAGGAAACCCTACAAAAAATAAATGAATCAAAGAGTTGGTTCTTTGAAAGAATAAATAAATCTGATAAACCCCAGCCAACCTTATCAAAAAAGGAAGGAAAAAACTCAAATTCATGCAATAAGGTATGAAAGGGATGAAATTACTACAGATTCCACAGTAATTCAGAAGATCATTCATACCTACTTTGAAAATCTTTATTCCCATAGGATAGAATACTCAGAAGAAATGGACAGATTCCTAGACATGTACAAGTTACCAACATTGAATCAAGAAGATAAAAAAAAATCCTGAACAACCTAATATCAATTAATGACATTGAAAATGTGATTAAAAACTTACTGACAGGGGCTTGGGATTAAGCTCAGTGGCACAGCACCTGCCTGGCAAGCACACAGTCATGAGTTTGATTCCCGGTACTGGGTGAGGGGGGGAATTACCAACACAGAAAAGCTCAGGTCCTGATGGATTCAAAGCAGAATTCTACAAGAACTTCAGAGAAGATTTAATGCCAACAATGCTGAAACTTGTCAAGGATATTGAAAAGGAAGCAATTCTCCCTAACTGATTTCTGGGGGCAAGTATTTAACTGATACCAAAGCCAGAGAAAGACCAAACCAAGAAAGAGAACTACAGACCAATCTCCCTAATGAATATGGATGCAAAGACACTCAATAAAATACTAGCAAAGAGAGTGCAGCAAATCATCAAGAAAATCACACACCATGACCAAATAGGATTCATCTCAGGGACGCAAGGATGGTTCATAATATGCAAAACAATCAGTGTAATACATCACACCAGAAAAGCCAAAACAAAAACCACATGATCATGTCAATAGATGCAGAAAAAGCTTTTTATAAAGTCTAACACTTATTAATGATAAAAAAAAAACCTTACAGAAATAGGAATAGATGGTCCTTACCACAAACTGTTCAAAGTCATCTATGACACACCAAAAACCAACATCATACTAAATGGACAGAAACTGAAAGTTTTCACTTTAAAATCAGGAATGAGACAGGGATGTCCACTGTCACCACTCCTATGCAACATAGTTCTGGAAGCATTAGCTAGAGCAATTAAACAAGAGAGAGAAATAAAACAAATAAGGATAAGAAAGGAAGAAGTGAAATTATCATTATTTGCAGATGACATGATACTCTACATGGAAGACCCCATAATCTCCACGAAAAGACTCATACAACTAATCAACAAATTCAGTAGTGTTCCTCGATGTGAAGTCAACACTCAAAAATCAATAGCATCTTATATACAAACAGCAAACACACATAGAGAAATTAAGACAACCAGACCTTTCACCACAGCATCCAAGAAACTGAAATATTCAGGCATCAACCTAACAGAAGTACAAGATCAAAACAGTGAAAACTGTAGTACTCTGAAAAAAAAGAGATTGAAGAGGATTTTAATAAATGGAAAAATATTCCTTGCTCATGGATAGGAAGAACCAACATTGTGAAAATGGCCATACTACCAAAATTGTTGTACAGATTCAATGCAATTCCAATTAAAATACCATTAGCATACTTCACAGATCTAGAGAAAACATTCCTAAAACTCATCTGGAACCAGAAGAGACCCAAAATAGCAAAAGCAATCCTGGGCAATAAAGACAAGTCAGGCGGCGTCACAATCCCTAACCTGAAATTATATTACAAAGCTACTGTAATAAAATCTAGATGGTACTGGCTAAAAAACAGGCATGAGGATCAATGTAACAGACTGACAGGTGAAGCCACAACCGCAAACACACTCAGCCACCTGATCTTTGACAAAGGGGCCAAACAAGATACTGGAAGAAAGATAGCCTCTTTAAACAGTGGTGCTGGGAAAACTGGTTTGCCACATGCTGAAGGCTGAAAATTGACCCAAGACTATCACCATGCACAAAACTCAAGTCAAAATGATCACAGATCTCAATATTAAAACATAAACGCAAAATCTACTGAAAGAGAAAATAGGTAAAAATTTTGAATTTATAGAGGTAGGCAGAGAGTTCATGAACAAAAACCAAACTGCACGGGAAACACTACTGAAAATCAACAACTGGGATCTTATCCTACTGAAAAGTTTTTGCACATCTAAAGAAATCACCAGCAGAGTAAAAAGGAAACCCACAAATTGGGAAAGAATTTTAGCTGACTGTCCCTCAGACAAAGGAATTCTCTCTAGAATATATAAAGAATTTTAGAAAAACCTCAGCCACCCCCCAAATTTAAAGATCCAATCCAAAAATGGACATCTGAGATGAATACGCACTTCTCAGATAAAGAAATACAAATGACAAAGAAATACACAAGAAAATGGTCAACATCATTAGTCATTTGAGAAATGTTACCTAAAACAGCACTGAGGTTTCATCTCACCCCAGTAAGAATGGCTATCATTAAGAAATCAACCAAAACAAATGCTGGAGAGGCTGTGGGGAAAAAGGAACCCTTCTCCATACTGCTGCAAGTGTAGACTGGTACAACCAGTGGAAATCAGTTTGGAGATTCCTCCGAAAACTAGGTCTAGAGGTCCCATTCAATCCAGCTATCCCCCTGCTGGGTATTTTCCCAGAAGATCTGGTTGTTTTTTGTTTTGTTTTGGTTTAGTTTGGTTTGTTTTTTTTTTCCAGTACCAGGAATCGAACTCATGACCTCATGCTTGCCAGGCAGGCGCTGTGCCACTGAGCTAAATCCCCAGCCCATTTTCCCAGAAGATCTGAAAACATCATATCATAGTGATATATGTGCACCCATGTTTATAGCAGCACAATTTATAATTGCTAAATCATGAAAGCAACCCAAATGCCCTTCCATTGAGGAATGGATAAAAAAGTTGTGGTATTTATATATAATGGAATATTACTCAGCTATAAAGAAAGATAAACTTGAAGCTTTTATGGGTAAATGGACACAACCAGAGACCATACTCATACTTGAAATAAATCAGATGCACATGTGTAAACAATATATTGTCTCACTAGTGTAAGAACCTGAAAAAGTGAACAAAAATTAGGAGATATGATATGATAGATAATGGGAAATGAAAGGAAATTGCTCAAAAGTAAAGAACAATATGGATGTGAGAAAAGAAAAAAGAAAGAAAGGGAAAATTATGTATACATGTATATTATTGACTTGAGTTTGGTGCATGGGGATAGTCTTGGATCTATTTTCAGTCTTCTGCATGTGACAAGCCAGTTTTTCCATATACATAATTATGTATATATGTATACATAAAATTATGTATATATGTAACACAGTTGTCCTACTGACTTCTATTGCTTTATTGAAAGGAACAGTTAATGTTTGATTGTTTGATCAATCTTATGTCTATTTGTTTATATCAGTAACGAATTTGAAGATATCAATATATGATGCAACAACCATTGTTAATTTCCTATTATCTTGTCTGAAATTCAGTATTGCTTGTATTGTTTTTGTGTTATTATGTAAATGTATGTGTGCTTCTTATTATGTTTTTGTTCTTTTAGCTTTAAAATAAAAAAGAAGAAAAATTTAAAGATAATTAAAGGGCATGAAAATTAACTAGATGAAACAACTTTTTCACATTACTAACAACTCATGAAAAAAATTCAAGAATGTATCTAACAAAAACATTATTCAATATATATTATTTAAATGTGTACCTAATATGTACAAAATGGCATATGTGTGTCACACATCAATATAGGGTAATCAGCTAAAGGATGATCAACTAGGAAAATGGAAATATTTAACTACACTGATAGAAATCCTCACTATAACTCACTATTTAACCCCTTTAGTTACCCTACATGTTCAGTTTATTGCCATTTTTACTTCAAGTGTATTTAGTGTAAGATATGACCTGACAAACCTAGATTTCTAATGGCCATAGGAAAGAAAACTTCTTGAAAAATATTCTCCTGGCTAGTGGAAAGAAAGTTTAAGGGAGAAATACACAAGAAGGATCAAAGCATAATACAAGTATTATATTAAAGTCATGATACACTTGAGGAGGAAAAAAATGTAATGAAATGTATTAAGGAACTGAAAAATCATTATCTGTAGCCAAACTTGTTACATTAAAGTATTTTTAAAAACATGGAGAAACAGAAGGGAAATATAAAAGTGATAAATGTAATCAATTTTGAATACAAAATACTAGAATCGGTTGCAGATATAATGGAAGTCAGAAAATCCAGAATAAAATTCAAATGAAAAGGGTAACAGCTATAGGTGTTAGTGGTTTCAAGATTATTAGAAAAAGAAGAGTCAGTTGTTCACCCAAACAAATCTCCTCATGCAATTTGACATCTGATAAATGTTGAAGAGCTGCTTCTGACTCTTAATGTATGTCAACATTCTCTGTGTATTCTTACACCCACATGTGTTTTATGCTTGAATGAATATACAGAATTCCTACCTTCTCTTAACAAAATAATGTAGCACTTAGGGACAAAGATGCAGCCTAGCAGCCCCGCACTGGAGGCCAAGATGGAGAAGACCTCCATGGCCACCATGACCTTCCCCTTGGTGCTGTGGTACACAGGGAGGAAGGTGACCCACACACTGCAGAACACCAGCATGCTGAACGTCAGGAACTTGGCTTCATTGAACGTGTCGGGCAGGTTCCTGGCCAGGAAAGCCACGGCGAAGC